CAAAATCACGACAAAATTCCACGACACGCCGCGCCACATCGTGTCGACGGCCGGGTTCGCTCCGTCCGGCACGAATTTATACAATCCAAAGTACACGATCGGCTGGACGGGATGCCGATTCTTGAGCAGGTCGAGCGTATCGGGGCACCACGGTTGCATGCTGCGATCGAAAATGGGGTGGTCAGGAAAGACACCACGTGCTGTTCGTCAGAGATGTCGATCCCTACCTCGGGTACAACATGCTGTTCGAGTTGATGTTTTCGCAAAACACGGGGAGCTGGAACAAATATCGCGCGCACACGACCCAGAACGACTACACGCCAACCTGGTCAACACAACCATCGATCGATCGACGTACGTATCGCATGATTACGTGCCACGCGAACGAGTGCGGCCGGGGGTTCTCGACCAGGAGAAAACCAAACGCGGCAAACACATACACGACGTTGAGTACGTCGCCCTGCGCCGTGCGTTAGCACCACAACGAGGTCACGGCGAGAGAGAGAGATAGAGCGGGTCGCGTTTTACCTGAAAGATGAAGCTGCACAAAAACACAAAGCAGCACACGTTTCTCGAGTTGCTTCGAATCGAGTTGATCACGATCGCAAGCATCTCGTACCACGACGGCAGCATCTCGTCGTCCTCTTCGTACACTTGGCTCTCGTGGCGCATCGACGCATCTTGCAGCGACTACACACACACACACACGAGAGGTTCGATTGCCAAGTCTCACGGCCATATGCCGCCCAAGTCGACCAAAGGTGCGGCTCGGCGGCGGTCCACAAAATTGCACATGCGTTGTTGATCCATGCTGGAATGGACGTACGTAAAAGAAGTTGTACACGGCCAGGTACCACAGCGCGGCAAAGTTCTTGGACTCGCCCAACTCTTCGTCTTCAGCGTCGTTGAGCCAGCTCTCGTCCCCCGTGACACTACTCCACTCGCTGCGCTGTCCGTCGCATCGTTCGTCGTCGTCATCTACGCCCATGGACAGGTCGCGGGGCGGCAACGCGACGCCCTTGGCCTCCATGTATGCTTCGAGACGATCGCCGACAGCGTGGCGCGGCACCAAGTTACCCAGATCGACGACCCACCGATCAAATTCTTGCTGGGTCTCGAGCTGGATGGTGTACTGGACCTGGTGTCCATTGCGCGCCGTCGCGACGACTTGAATCGCGTACACTTCGTCCGACATCTCGTTGGCCCGATGCACGGCCTCCGACAAGTTGCACGACGACACGTCCCGCGTCAAGAAGGAAGTCTTCATGCGCTTGCGCTTCTTCATGCTGCGGTGCTTGAGCGCCACGGCTTCGTTCTTGTACCACACAAACGCGTGGCTGTCGACGACTGCGTAACGTGGAAGGACCTTGGCCGTCCATAGCCGCGACCACCACGACTGCGGCCACCGTGTCTTTTTGTAGTGGACCCACCCGGCCAGACATGTGCCGCCCCAATTCAGAGGAAATGTTTGAATCGGGACACTCGGCGCGCTGAACGGCCCTTCGCCCATCCGCGACGCCGCTGCGACTTTGAATTGATATGACGTCCCTGGGCGCAGACCGTCAATGACGACGCGGCACGGGTTGGTCGCTTTGACTTCGACCGGATCGGTGTAGTCGCCAAGAAGAGTCGTCGGCGGATAGACCTACGCATCGTGAGCGTGCTACCCCTAGGCGATTTCATGCAGGGAGATGGCGCCACGTTGAAGGCGGACACGGACAACGCCCGCGACCACCGACATCACATGAACGATTCAAGTCCAGACGAGACAGCAGACCCACCTGTCGGGTGATGATGTAGTAGCGAATTCGATGTAGCATCGGGCCTTGCGGTGGGCTCCACATGACGGTGGCCGCGTTTTGCGTGGTCTCTTCTGCAACGACGACAGGGGGCATAGGCGCCGGCGGCGGGAGGCTGTAGTTCAGCCCCGACGCAATGTCCATCATTTCCTCGACCTTGTTCACCATGCGGGAGATGATGGCCTTCAAGCGGAAAATGGCCGTCTGCTTTTCCTGCTTGAGCGCGGTCCACCGCTCGAGTCGGTCGAGCAGCACCTGTCATCACGGCGTGAGAGGTTCGCGTAAGAGGTGTGCGCCATCAGGAACTCGCACCTCGGTGTGCAGGGCTTTGCGTCGAGACAAGCTCTGGTCGGCTTCGCGGGCCGTGTACGCGCGGACGTAGTCGTAGAGCGGGGACCGGTAGATGAGTTCTTGGATGTTAATCATCCAAAAGATCACGATCGACAGGATCGGCAGATTCGCTTGCAACACGGGGGCGCCGGGGTAATTCTTGGGGAACTTGTTAAAGTCGAGAACTGCCGGAACCGAGAGGCAGATGCCGTCGCGCTTGCTGTTGGTGCCGAGGTCACATCGATCCGTCACGTCGCCAAAGAACGGAAGCTGAAACAGGATGAGCAAAAACATGTACGCCCACGAAAACTCGCGCAGCCGGCGAAGCATCTTGCTGTCGGCAGCGTCCACGTCCTTGAGATGGAGGAACATGTAGATGGCAAAAGCCAAGTAAATGCCAGACGCGAGGCCAGACCGAACGCATCCCGACACAAACACCATCACGAGCAGCCCGATGACCCAGTACGTCATACAGAAAAACACCACCAGGCGCCATGGCCGCTGGTTCTCGAGCGAATCGATGGTAAAGTCGCCGGCGTCGCCGGGGACAAGCACGTATGCGGACGACGGGACGGTGGGGTCGGCATGGCCCGCGACAACATCGTGGGCCGCGCGCGCCGCCGCTTCGAACTCGCGTTTTTCAATCTCCAAGTAGTACGGCTTGGCGCCCGGGATCATAAACACGACGAGGAGGCATGCATAGTCGCAGAAGAGGCCCCACGGGTGCTGAAAGTTGAGCGCAAAGTACTCTTGGTAGTCGGCGTTAAACCATGTCCACGGCGGAAGCGAGTTGCGCGGCTGGTGCATGAACGGCGGCAGCCATAGCATGACAAAGTACTGCGTGATGCAGACAAAGAGGAGCATGATTGCAAGGTACGTCCAGTTGCGGCACACCGTGATCGGATTCGAGACCATGATCCATCGCACGACGACCAGGTACACGACGCTGATGATGTTCAAGTGAATAAATGCACTCACGAGCAGCGTCAGCATCGTGAGTGTCACCGATCCCTCCGACGTGAATCGGAGCAGAAAGTCCTGCACGGATTTCAGAAACGGGACGTCGTCGACGGCGGCCGCTGCCCACGGATCCGATTCCCGCAGTGCCGCAGGTTTGTACTTGCGGCCATGGGTCGGCTTGTCCTTGTCGGGGTCCCAAAAGTGCGACGCCCGCGTCACGAGGCACAGCACCATGACAACCAAGTGCTCCCACGTCATGGACCAGATTGTCGGGTGGATGTAGTTGCCGCTGTTCGCCGTCTCGACCGACGACAGACCGCGATCAGTTGTATACAGCGTCTTGTTGATGCGAGCGAGACCGACCCAATTGGCGTTGTTCTCGACCTTGGTCGCAAGGTCGTTGCCGAGAAGGATCGCGAGTTTGTCGGGTTGAAGCGATCGCGACTGGAATGCGTACAGGCACAAGATGAAACACGACGATAGCCAAAACAGCGACTTCCACGACCCTGTCCACTTGGGCTTGAACAGCGTCGCAATCAAGAGCGAGAGGTACGTCACGTTGAATGCGTTGATGTTGTGGCAGACGACGCCCATGTTGAACAGAACGAGCACGATCGGGCTATTGAGAAACACCATCCTTTGAAATTCATGGACAAACGTGATGACGTTGTCCATGAGGACGCTGCGGCCCGGCGTTAGGATCTCGTAGTGCGGCAGCTTGCGCTTCATCGAGCGGAGATTCCAAGCCGTCACTGCCGCCATCTACCCGACTTTGTGTGAGGAGGACACGTCGACGAAATACGTACCAGCGCCGTCGGGAAGAGGTATCCAAACAACCCCGACAGTTCGTTTGCGTCCGAGTACCGCTTGAGTCCAAAGTCTTCGATCGTCATGATGTCATCGACGTGCCAGTGGGCTGTAATGAACCGCTCTACCGCGCGGAATTGGTAAATGTACCGCACGATCAGCACAAGACCTTCGTAACACAGCACGAGGCGCCACAAAAACTGCGTCTTGGTCGAGTTGCCGCGCGGACTTTTCACCATGGACGACATATGCGATCCGAGCAGCGTAAACATGAGGAAGACTTGGAGCCACCCGATAAACGTGACGCGGCCATGCTCGTCGACTTCGTACACGAACCCGAGGAAGAGGAAGCCCAAGTACGCCACGACGCCGCCGACCATGCGAAACGTCAAGTCGACTTCGAGCGTCAGCCGCGATAAAAAGTAGAGCGGTCGCTGCGGCGCTTGGGACATTAACGCGTCGCGCTCGGCGCGCCCCGAGTCGGATTTCATGTAAATCACAAGCTGGATCACGACTTGGACAATCAAGATCAACTGCGCGATGAACAGCGTCGGCCACAGCACGCTCCACGTCGACGGCGGCGTCGGGCCGGCAAAGCACGTGAGCCCAATCGTGTCCATGGTCACCCTGTCAAACGAAGTGGGGCAAATGACGTTCCAAACGTACATGAGAAAGCACACCACGAGCGTATACGCGAGCAAGCATCGCCACATGCGCCTACGACCCACCCTGCATGAGATCATTCGAACAAACGCGACGATCGAGTGTACCGGCGCAGGCGCTGAAACACGGCCACGAACGCCGCCAGCATGAGATATCCTGTCTGTAGCAGGTTCACGGACGTGCTCAGCACCGTCACTAGGCACAACGCGCTCAGGAAACAAGCGCACGACGGGTTGTCGTACCAAAGATGGTAAAGAGGACGGTCGTATCCAACACCGACACGAGCACGCATTGCATGTCCTTGAACCAGAGCGCCGCCAATTCCAAGTACGTCAACCGATGCTATCGAGTACAGCTCGTCAGACGATGTCGCGGCCGACCCGAATGGATCCATAAACACCCCGACGAGTCCAAGCCACACAATCTCGCACACCGTCGATCGTGTCCATGGAGCCGAGGCGATAGCGATCGTTGTCGCGCTGCCCCATGGATGCACGCACATCAACAGCACACACACGAGGACTCGCGTCGCCGACGAGAGCCCACCCACAACTCGACACACAACCACGTGGGACGGTACCGTTTGAAGATTGTCGTGCTGGACGCGCGACGAAGTGGCCGACATGTCCGACAGGATCGAGATGCGGACTTGGGCGTTCAGCTTTTCAAGCGCGCGTTCGTCGCGGAGCTCTTGGAGGAGATCGCGGTACCGCAGTCGAATACGGAGGCAAAAGCACATGACAATGAGGCACCCGTTGTGGATGGCAAGGTCGATCAAGGCAAACTTGGACGGCGCGATCCCGAGCATGGCCTTTTGCGCGCGGATCCAGTCGAACGAGAGAAAGATCGGCATGTCACACACGTACGTGACGATCGACACAACGACAGCGTACGCGTTGAGGACGAGGAGAAGCATGCGGGGAATGACGAGCCCATATGTGCCGAGCGTTAGCAGCGCCATGCCGAACAGGACCGCCAGCAAGTACGACGGGTACGATACACTCCAAAAGATGGCGGTGGCGACGGCACCGAGGACGCCGCGGTCTTCGAGAAAGATGCGAACAACGAGGTTTTCCCGGTGCAGGAGCTCTTTGGCCGTCGGAATGGCGTTGTCCAGGTCGTCGTCGGTGGCGTCGCTGACGCGGCGATGGCGCATCTTGATAGACTCCCGCGCGGAATAGAACGATGACGTTCGGGACGACTCGTTGCCATCGCCCGTGGTTGTGGTGCGGTGCCTCTGGCGCATGCTGGACTGCGCCGTAGGTGTTACGAGTAGTTGCGACTCGTGATAGATCGAGTCGACAGACGAACGCACTTGGTGGGCCAGCGACGACACGGCGCTGGACATCGCGGCATCGGACGCAACCCTCGACGGCAAGGACGCTAGTTTTTCGTAGATCGGATACGTTCGCGATGCTGTCGCCAAGAGGAACAGCGTCGCGCCGTAAAACACGTACCCTTGCCAGTCCTCCCAACTCTAGAATTCACGTGAAAAGAGAAGTCGTTGGCACAACGTGCATGATTACCCCAGGCAGCACGAAAATGTTGGCGTACGTGCCAAGATGGAGCCCCACGGCCGTGTTGCGCAGCTGGGGATACTGGTACCCATGGCTAGAACGCGTCCGTGAGGCACGAGCATGCTGGTTACACTGCGTAGGTCCAAAACAAAAAGCAGACTTATAAAAGAGGACCACGGGCTGGGTGCTGGACAAACAAGAAGAAAACAAGCAGCAGCATGCCAAACAACACAGAAAACCCGCTCGTGGGGGTGGACGACGTGGCGAAAGCCCCTCCTGGAATGCCACCGTCCAGTGGTCGGAACGAGGCATCCGTGGCATGCATTACCGCACAACTTGGGGAGAATGGAGCACAGGAGAAAGACACCTATACAGCATGCGACACGTACATGACAAAGAGCACAGGGATCGTGTACGCGATCATGAGCTTCATCGAGGTGGGCCCGAAGAAGTAGCAAAACGTGGATAGGTTGCGCTCGAGCTGGGTCCGGGTGATCTTGGGGCTCGAGAATGTCCAAACGATCAAACAGTACGCAAAGATGAGGTAGTACAACGCGCCGAGGTACCCCGGCGACGCAAATGCGCACAGGAAAAGCGAGACAAGCACGACAAACTCGCTCCCGCGCAAAATTATGATGAGCGAGTCGCGAGAAAAGTACGACGTCGGCGCAGCGCGAGATGCCGTCACGGGGATGGCCACGTCGTCGGACGTCGAGTGGGCAGCTTGTTTGCGCTGGCGGTAGATAAAGAACAGATGAATTGCCGCAGAAATCAAGATGAGCACGTCCGGGCCGACGCCAAAGATGTAGTCGTCCCACGTTTTCAAGTACTTGACGCCAATCGCAGACAAAAAGACCTTGCCTGGAATCGGAACCAAATCTTCGATGGACTGGCGGGAGTTTTCGGGCAGTGCCAGCATAGCCTGGTAGTCGGAACGCTTGGTTTCGTACCACACGATCGTGTACGTGTTGGCAGCGACGCCACAGGTCGCGACAAGCATCGTGAACACAGCGAGGGCGCGCAACTTGAACGAGTGCAAGATGCCAATAATCCATGACAGCAAGTACAGAGACGACAGCGCACTCCCGCGGACTGCAGTGGACAAGAGCAGCGACAGCGAGAACACGACGTCGGCCATGAACCACATCACTTTGATCAAGGTGGCTTTGGAACAGAGTTTGTTTCGTTCGGTCGCTTGACTCGGGGAAGTGGGGTTTGGAGAGCAAGGGAGGTTTCCATGTTCCCTGTTCGATGGTCAAGATGAGAAAGACGTGAAAAGCTGGGATAGAGTACTTTGATGCAGACGTCGCCACCAACTCCATCTCGTTCGGCGGTGTGGAGGAGTATCTGTACGCCGTTTCTGTGGGTGTGGGCTCCTTCAACGCCTCCGCAATGACGTCTCCATCATCGTGTGTACCGCCGAACCTGCGCATCACGGCTGAACGACCGAGCGGGACCGATCAAGTGCTCGCCGCGACTGGAATTGACGATAAAAATCGTCGGGGGATTTGCATTCCTGGCCTTTCAACGCGTCAAATGTTGCTAATGAGACTTAACACGCGTCTTTAGTCATGCAAAACAGAGTAAAACGTGAATTGGAAGTAAAACGTCAACGTTAAATCAGATGATATAGACCACCGAATATCGCGCAATTCTCACCATGGCGCTGTCATGCGTCACAGCGATCTCACGAGTTCAAATGATTGAGCGCACGCTGTCTACGCTGTGTCCGCGCGCCATGCATAATCTGCATCGCTTGCGCTGGTTTCCATTCCTCAAAATCGCTGAAGAAAGCGGGAGTCTGTTTGGATTATAAACATGTCACCACGGAGTGAGTGTTTTGTGGTCAAAAATGGGGCCGCGCGACCGCAGCGTTTACAATCCATGACAAGTGCGAGAAGAAACATAATTGGCAAGTTCAAAGCAAAACCATAAACTAGACACGATCTATTCTCCTTCAGCAAGAGGCCTTTCTGGATTGCAGCAGAGACAGAGAGTTCTTGCGCAGCACGAGGCACGTTGACAGCCACAATAACAAAAGGTGCCAAAATCAAATCGTCGACGGCGCGAATTAAAAAACGTGAACAGTTTTCGACCGTCAAATTTCATATGTTGCATTGGGGAGTTTAAAACATACCGGTAAAAAACATGTGGGGTTTTGCACTGGTCGACAACGTGCACAGCGCCGCCGCGATTGCACCATGGGTAACGTGATGTCGAGCGCCGTCTCTGTGTAGAGTCGTCACAGGGCATGTCCTACTACGTAGCTGTCGACTCCAAGACGTACGTCAAGGCAATCGCGTCCATTGTGGATGAAATCATCAAGGCATATGAGAAGCAAGACCCTGTCAACATGACGCGGTTGAAGAACGACGTCGCCAAAGTGTACAAGCTTCCTTCCATGCCAAAGGTTTGCTCCTTTGTGCATAGCTTCCATTTTGACCCACTGGACGTGCATAGCTCGTCGACATCATATCAGCCATTCCAGAGGAATACCGCGACGAGCTCGTTCCATACTTGAAAGCCAAACCTGTGCGCACGGCGTCTGGTATTGCCGTCGTGGTACTCTTGCCGCCTTCCTCGACACGTCCTTGACCATTCGTTGACGTTGCAATTGCCAGGCCGTCATGTGTAAGCCCCATCGGTGCCCCCATATCGCCATGACTGGCAACATCTGCGTCTACTGCCCCGGCGGTCCCGACTCGGATTTTGAGTATTCTACGCAGGCACGACCTTCGATGCGCCTTTGCTTTTCAATTGACTTTCCTTTCTAGGCATACACTGGGTATGAGCCCACGAGCATGCGAGCGATCCGAGCGCGGTACAACCCCTACGTCCAGACCAAGACTCGCGTCGACCAGCTCAGACGGCTTGGCCACAACGTCGACAAGGTACTCACGCCTTGGCGGTCCACGCGACTAGAGCGTTTTCACGATGCAGGTGGAATTCATTGTGATGGGCGGCACGTTTCTGTCACTCGACCGAGACTACCGAGACTGGTTCATGCGCAACCTCCACGACGCTCTCTCGGGCCACACGTCGAGCTCCGTTGCCGAAGCCGTGCGGTACTCGGAACAAGGTCAAATCAAGGTACCACCGACAAAACATCGTCCCTCCGTGTCGGTCGGCGTGTGTGTTTCTCACAAGCCGTGGTAGTGCACGGCCATCACGCTGGAAACCCGTCCCGACTACTGCTTGAAGCCACATTTGAACGACATGTTATCGTATGGGTGCACCCGCATCGAAATTGGTGTCCAGAGCATTTACGAAGACGTGGCTCGAGACACGAACCGTGGCCACACTGTTGCCGCCGTACGAGTTCGCAACACACCAGTCATTCACGTCGGCCATGGCTAGGTGTGCCATTCCTTTCAACTCGCCAAAGACTGCGGGTACAAGATCGTGGCGCATATGATGCCCGATCTCCCCAACATGGGTACGTCGGGGTCCGCCATGTCGTCGAAATGAACGCACGTCTGGGCGGTCGGCAGGGATGGAGCGGGACCTGCATGGGTTCCAAGAATACTTTGCCAACCCGTTGTTCCGCACGGACGGGCTCAAGATTTACCCGACGCTCGTCATTCGAGGGACCGGTCTGTACGAGCTGTGGAAGGCGGGCCAGTACAAAGTACCACCAAGATGGACGATGCCTCTGTGGTCTGTGACGGCGCGATGGTGTAGAACTATTCGCCAGATGAGCTCGTGGACCTGATGGCGCGGCTCTTGGCCCTCGTTCCGCCCTGGACGCGCGTGTACCGCATCCAACGCGACATCCCGATGCCCCTCGTCACGTCCGGCGTCGAGAACGGCAACTTGCGCGAGCTCGCGTTGGCTCGTATGAAAGACTTGGTCGCGTTGTGCTGCATGAACGAGCCTCATGGAATCGTCGCAGGGCCTGACATGTCGAGACATACGAACGCGGGAAGTCGGGATGAAAGGCATCCACGATCAAATCGCCCCCGACGACGTCGAGTTGGTGCGCCGCGACTACGTCGCCAATGGCGGGTATACGTGATTGCGGCATTCCGACACAACCAAACGTGGTGCGTAGATGGGAGACGTTCTTGGCGTACGAAGACGTGGCGCAAGACATCCTGGTCGGTCTCTTGCGGCTGCGGCAAGCCAGGTGCTTCCTCCATGGCTTCCCACACTCTGCTGGATGGCTCACGTGTCCTGCAGCGCGACGGCATTTCGACGAGAAATCCCGCCTGGCACATCCATCGTACGCGAGCTCCACGTGTATGGGTCGGCCGTGCCCATCCATTCTCGGGATCCTACCAAGTTCCAGCACCAGGTACCTCCACGCAGCCCTTTTGCATCATCTCCACTCTGGCATGGACGACGTACAGGGATTTGGGACGCTTCTCATGGAAGAAGCCGAGCGCATTGCCCGCGACGAGCACAAGTCGACCAAGATCGTCGTGATTGCCGGTAAGACCCCGCCATCCAACGTTTTCGACGCATGATGGACGCATCGTGGCAGGGGTCGGTACACGGCACTACTACCGAAAGCTCGGCTACGAGTTGGATGGTCCGTACATGTCCAAATCTCTCGCCGATTGCTCCGACGGGTAGCTCATGTAGCACTCGATCACCTCACGACCGTCGTGACGTCCGTGGTGGTAGTAGTAGCGTGCCATCCCCAAAGTCGAACGCAGATCCGGCGGCGGTGTTTCGCAACCTCGAATAGATTCCGAGTGGCCAGTCGCGTTTATCGCACGGTTGGATGCCTCGAGCACCAAAATCCAGTCCCTTCACTCTTCCACGTCTCCACACGTCATGCAATGACCTGACGATTCAGGACCAATGGCGGCCTGCCACCGCTTGATGACACCAACTCGCCGAGATGTTACGTCGTCGCGGCCACACGACGAAACCACCACAAGCATATGCAACGTACCTCCGACGGCATCCTAGGCTCCCGCCATGGTGGCGGTTCGTAGCTCGCGTTTCGCTCGTCACCCACCTCGTTCAACGGGTGGTTCCATATCGAACCCATCACGTTCACTCGTCGAATCCACGTCATCTTGGTCACACCACATATGGAACGAGGCCTCTACGCAGGAGCAGCCACCACCCCGCCGCTCGTTCCACGTCATCGGTGACGCATCTGGACGCAGCATCTGGGACCTCCCGTGCCATGCGCCGCCGCCGCGCCGTTTTGGGTTCACGTCGCCGTGGGCCACAAGAACGTTCCACGGTATGCACGACGAGAGCATTCTTTTTTGTGGGGAAATATTTTTCGTTCCACTTGATGAAATATATGAAAAAATCGCGCGGGAGGCAACTATTGTTTGCGTCGGCAAGTTCAACTTGAAGTTCCGAACACTTGATCTTTGTATGCGCCGTTGAAACATCCAATCGGCGTCGCCGACGGCCATGGGACAATCTTCGAAATATGACGCCAATAAAAATATGCCAATGCCCCAGGATCTCGCCATATACAACGACCCCAACGACAGCTGTACATTTTAAAAACCACCTGGTGACGAGTGAATTTTTCACCCACAATCCATATATTATATACACCCTGGCTGCCTCTCCCCCTCCAACGTCTGGTTGCGGCCTCTGGGGAAAATCTCCTCGTGAAAGTTTGAACGCGTTTCGTTTCAGCACGTGTCGGGCCTGCCGCGGCACGAACCGGCACGGCGTGATGGCCACACCCAAAATCCGATCGCTAAAAAATGAAACGCCCAATATTATTATTCCGCGTGCCGACGCGAATGTATGGAACCAAAGCCGCGACGTTGCACTTCAACGATTTTATTAAAACTATCTTAGATCTCCCAGATGATGCCCACACGGCGGTCAAAATTTCAGCCAATCAAAGACCGCATATCATCTACTTCAACGTGCGGGAGCCAATCGCATGCGACCGTCGCGGCAACGCACCACTTGGAGTTTGTATAGAGCACGCAAAGCAGCTGAAATGTATAGAATGCCTATGTCCGAAGAGTGATGGTCTGTCCCGTCCCCTGTCCATATTTTTTTGTAAAAGTTTAATTGTCCGAGCGGATGTGAACGGGTCGACCCATAATTATATAAAGTACCACCGGAGGGACGACAGTTGAACACCGTGCAAGATATATTTTATTTGACGTGTAATTTTTTTACCTTGCCCGGAAAGCATTCAGTTGCCAATTTGGCCGAACCTCCAAGAAGCTCATCGGTCGCCGTAGCCGCCGCCGCAGACCTAGGAGAGAGACACACCACGACCATGACCGCCATGGGCATTACGATGAACTTGAACAGCACCGCCATGCTTCCCCTGAGGATGCCGACACACGAAGAAAACGACCTGTTGTGCAGAAGCTTTGGGGACCTCCCAACTACCCCCCATACAGACTCAAACGACCTGATGAACAACGCCAGCGGCAGCTTCGTGACCAAGCTGTTTGCGATGGTCGAAACTGAACCCGACTCGGTCGTGACGTGGATCCGTGAAGGAACTGCGTTTTGCATCGTCCAGCCCAAGGTGCTGGCCGAGACGTACCTCCCCAAGTACTTTCGCCACGGGCGATTCTCAAGCTTGATCCGTCAGCTCAACTTTTACAGCTTCTACAAGGTCACAGAGGGCAGTGCCATCATCTACCAGCACTCGCACTTTCGAAAGGGACGACCGGACTTGCTCGTCCACATTAAACGACGGGGTGCTGGCAAGGCGAAGGACCCTTGGATCGACCCTTTGAGCACCAAGCAACGCTTTGCCTCTGAACACGATGCGCCAATCTACGCTCCTCTCCACATCAACCACGCCAACCAACCATTGCCGATTTCTACAGGCGATCTTTGCTCGTCCCCATCGAGCAAGCCCTTGTCGACTCAAACGAAACAAACTGCGATGATGCTCAAAACTGAAAACATGTCTCCTGCTCTGAAACCTGGAACGTCGCCGATGATAATGCCCCCTGTCGTCGACTTGAATGGTGGACGAAAAGAGATGTCTGCTATGATGAAACAGCCTCGCTCGGGCGGCACCCACATCATGGCATCGTCGACGATGTTCGGTGTCAAGGAGAACCCATCGACAGGATCGCTCATTGCCGTCCGATCGCTCGACCAACAAGACATGTGCATGCGACCCCCGCTCTGGCGCACAAGCAGCTCGTCTCACGAGATGAAGGGTTCGGACCTGATGGAGTTTGCCGCGTTCCCAAAGAATGGGAAGGCCGACATGACGTCGGACCAAATGAAGGACGAGATGATTGACCACGCCATCTTGGACAACTTGACGTTTGGCGATATGCTGGACCAACATTCAACATCGTGCCACAACTCGGCCCAAGTCGACCCGCGAACGCTTGTGCTCGCACGTAATTGCTTGAAAGGGCCAGCCGCCATGGTCCACTGCACGGACGACTCTGCTCCGTCGCATCCCTCTTCGAGCATGATGCACAACAACTCTATGCTGTTCGACCCGGCAGACGTCCACCATGACGACGACGACACGTGGGAGATGCCGCTGTCGCCGCTGAATGACCCCGAGGACATTCCGTGGCTGGATTTGTCGTTTTAGCCACAAGTTGCATTCATATTTAGGAATCAGTCGTAAGAGTAGTAATTTAAATCGCATCGCACGAGCCCATCGCCGTTCCCGACCTGCGGCCATCGTTCCGATGCCATTCGACGTACGCTCCATGGCAGCCTCGATCGAGATGCACGCGATGGGAGCTGGCTGCCTTTGCACTCTCACATCTCGACTGACAATGCCACACGAAACGAATATGCATGCAGGTGTGGACGAGAATGCCAACCTCACGCCGACGCACCATGCTGGTCAAGTGTGGCCTCGGTGTAGCTGTGCGTATGGCGTGCTGTGGGCCATGGCGATGCGTGGTGCGGGGGTCGGAAGCACGTGCAAACGCGATTCGATCGAGAGTACATTGGCGTTAGCGGTCGCGCGATGATTGCTCCAACGCGTTGATGTCGGTGTCGATCATGATGTCGTGTTTCGACTTGGACGCGAGCACGAACGACGTTGTCATGGTGTGTAGTGCCCGCTTAAAGTCGACGGTCGTCGGCGCCACGTCGCGGGGAAATGTGCTGGGGGAGTAGTCGCAAGGAGCCTGGGCAAGACGCGTCACGATCGTCGAGATCGACAACCACGTACAGGCAGCTCGGCAGCGCGACGCAGCGCGAGCTCGAACGGCGACGCCACATTCGAGTTGGAAAACAGCGGCGCGTTGTTTCCGTTGAAGGTAGAGCTCTTGACGGCGCTCATGTACTGCCCCGGGCCGCTACAACGCGCCGTATTCATCCTCCAAGCACACGAGCCCGACCGACGTACGGGCCAAGCTGTGCCTGCAGCGAGTGGAGCAGGCGGCTCTTTGCAAACGTCGTGCCGGAAGTTTTCATCGCGTGCTCGAGCGTATCGAGGTCGTCGTACGCGCCAGGCCCCTACCTCCGTCGTCACCCGGTGCTTAGGAATTGGTCTGTACGGGGGTTGCATGGAGGCGGTGGACGTCGGTCGGTCCCTTCGGCAGCGGGCTCCACATGCCGCCGCTCGTGCGCGTGTGGAGCAGGGGGCTGTACTCGCCCGGTCCCTACCATTCCGTGGTCGGCTCGTGGTCCATCACGACGACGTACGGGAGTCTGGCGAATCTGTTCGCTCAGGTCTTTGCAATGGCTGTAGCGGATGCTGGCGAGTTTGTGGATGCGATTCCGCTCCGCAACGATGGCTTGCTTGACCTCCTACGGGCGACATGGCACCCGGCGGCGCATGCAACCGGCTTACGTTCAGGTTGTCGATACGCCGATAGTTGGCCTGGATTTTCCGCGCCGCCTGCTTCCTCTTGAACGCTTGGACATTCTTGAGATGCCACACGTTCGCTTCACGCTCCTGGACCATCAGGCGCTTCGACTAGAACACGACATGCGTCGTTTGCAGTCGCGATCGATGCCAACGCCCCACCTCTTTTTGGATCAAGTTATGGTGTTGAATGGCCACGCGCTTCTCCCGCAGCGCATCCTCCTACGCGAAATGTCACGGCCGTCGCGGATCGAAGTCTCGATTGCCTTGTCGTCGAGAACGGCCTGGATCGTTTTGCGGCGCTGGACGTCGTTCGCTCTGGCGTCATTCAACACCTACAACACACACACACTTCGTGGCGATTGCTCGAGCGAGAGAGGACGGACTTGCTGGCGCTTCTTCTGCCGGTCGTCGTCGCGCATGCGCTTGTCTTTTGCCGACGCCTCCTTTTCGCGTGCCGAGCTTTCGTGTTTGGACTTTTCAAACCTTCGCCTCGCGTCTGCGTTTTGCTGTCGAGTCTATCACGCCAGCACCATTTGCATGAACCACCGACCGTAGTCGTGGAAGCGATCGAGATGGTCGGGTACCGCTTCAAGCAGCTCACGCTGGCGCTGCACTCTTTCCATCTTGACGCGATTCTGCTCCGCTCTGCCAGGACGTAGCCAGGCCATGAACCTGTCATGCCACGGGCATCATGCACCCGACGTACTTTTCAGCCTGCATTTGCTGGCGCAGCGCCATCGATTCCGACTCGCCTGGCCGTTGTAAAACCACGCCGTTATCTACAACCAAGTACTGCGCCCGCTTCTTGCTAATCTTGGCCGCTTCTTTCTCCAAGATCTGCGCCAGCGTCAACACACGCGCCATGACAAGGATCCGTTCGTCTCGTTGGCACCTTCTCGTACTTGAGCCGTCCCTTGATCATGGCTTCGAGCAACTTGTGTTCGTGGGCGAGCTCCCTCGAGTAGTCGCAAACGCCGCTGTCGCACGCTTCGTCCACGTCATGGACGCCGTCCGCCGCGACTTGCAACAGCAGCGCCAAGTTGTTCTTGCGTGTCTTTTCGTAGTGCTTGAATCGCAAACTCGCAATGTCGGCCGGCACCAACCACGCCCTGTCGGCCACACAACGCACGTCAGACATGCAGCGCTCGATATCGGCGACGACGGCGGGTAAGCTGTGCAACGCCATGCAAAGGAAATGCCATTCGCATGGCCATTCACGCGCATGGAGACGAGAACGAAAGGTCGCAACAGGCCAACGCGATCGTGGCGACAGACACCCACCGGTTTTTCTCCTTTGTAAAGTCGTCGATCGTCTTGCGCTGGAACTCGTCCGCGACGATGCCGGTCGCGTTCATGGCGGCTTGTATTGCTGGCGTCTGGCGAGAACAGCGTCATGTGCGTCGTGTTGTCGAAATACAGCACGCATGACATGTCTGGCACGCACCTGCAGGAGTTGCGTGAGTTGCCGTGGGGGACCGTTCAGAATCTCGATCGCCTGGTCGAAGTATTCCTTTTGCTGGGCGCTTCGTGGAGTTAGCGCACAGGGTGTTGCAGTCTTGGGTCGGCGTGCGGGGGACGGGTGAGGCTTTGGTGGCTTGACGGGGGTTGATGGAGTGCCCCCATCCGTTTCCAACTCGACGGCTCGGCTGAACAGCGCACTGAGACCCTCCATACACTGCAGCAAGTCGTCTTCGTTCTTGACTTGGTAAAACCCGCGAACGTTCTTGAGGACGTGGGAAGGACCGTCGTTGGTGGAATCACACGCCACGACGTCCTGCGCTGATACGGACCGAGTCTGCGCAGTCCGAGGCACATCTGACAGCTGCGATGCCACCTTCATCGGCGATGACGCTGCTGCAGGGGATTCGCTCCGAGTTGATGCAACTGGCATCGAAGCCTCGTCGCCCACAGACGCGTCCATCGCATCAACCTGCCTCAAAATAGATGACAACCGACATCACGTCCTTTCGCGAGATACAAAAAAAATGTGCAAAATATTGTTCAGAACTCGAATTTTTCTTTGAATTTGCAATAACATATTCGTCAGAACCAAAAAAATTTGCTATTTCCACAATGCTTAGCAGATACACTGCACCACCAACGTAATCACAGCCGCCAGGCAGACCGTGACGCCCCTCCTGCGCAGATTTGTCCGTGTACAATTACATCAGGAATACTAGGGTCAAGGCGAATATTTGGGAAAACAGTGATTGGAAATATTTCCCCATGGATGAATAATCCATGGGGAAATATTTCCAATCACTCTATTTTGAAGGTCCGACCACAGTTGTGTTCGAGTAGTACATCATTGTATCCGACATTTTGGCCTATCGTCGCACCACTGGTCCATGACGAGTTGAAACGAAACGAACAAGGCAGTGACGAGAAGAGCACTGAGTCCCTAGGCAACGCCAAGTATGCTGGCGATGCGAAGAAATTGTTCTCGTGTAACTACTGCGGGGGGATGGGCCATTGGCAAGTGTGACAAGCGTCGTCAACATCAGCGTGTGAATCAGCTGCAACCATCTTCTGTGGTCGCCAGATCAAGTGGAGGCCACCTGTTCATGGCAAGTGCAGAGCCTGCATGCAAATCAAGTGTGTGGTTCAGTGACACTGGAGCCACACAACGTGTGTGCAATTGAAGAGGATTCATCGGTATCTACCGCATCATGGCCCCAGTTGACGTGCATCTGGACAACAACGATATGATACAGGCAATTGAGAAGGGCGAAGTTGTCGTGGAGCAGAGAACGACCTCGAGAACTTCGCGTGGAGTGCTCCGAAAAATGAGTGCTTTATCCCACATTTGAACAAGAAATATTCTCAGACGGCTGCTTCACACAGGATTCAGCCTCAGTATGCTTTTCCAGCAACAAGTGCTACATGGTCAAGGCTGGCCACAAGTATGTCTATGGCAACTACTTTGCTGCGGTTTATACAAGCTAAATATGGTTGCTGTGCAAGGAAATCTTCAAGGCAGTCTGCCGCCAATACACAGTACGCGCTCAAGCAAGTGTCAGCTTTGTCACGCCTAGGACATGTCGGCAAACGAGCTCTTGCTCAAATGGTGAAAAATCATGTGGCTACTAGTGTGTGACTCGAGTCTGTAGACGGTCTAGCGTTCGGTGAAGCATAAACACTTGGCAAGGAACACACGTGCAAGTTCCTACGAAGCACACCCTGTTCGA